TTACTAGTCTGCACTAACAGAAATGCCTAGCATGTGATGGGGTGTTATAATGCAACAGCAGGGACTCGTCCAGGCAGTCACCGCAGAATCAGTAACGATTGAGTGTGGATTAAAAAAAAAAAAGGAAAGCTAAACACAACAAAAAGGGCTTATGGGACTATGTCAGTAGTAAAAGGAAGGAAAAGGAGGGGTTGGCCCTGCTGCTAGGAGAAGATAGTAGGACTACAACATGCAAGTTGGACAGGGCGGAGCACTTCAGCTCCTATTATGTTTTGGTCTCTCCAAAGGGGAGATTCAACTAGAACCAAGCAGAACAATTGACAGAAGGAAGGTAAATACATGGTAAGTACCCAAGGTAAGTACAAAGATGATTAGGGAACACTTGGCTGCCGTGAATGAGTTGAAGTCTTTAGGACTTCAACAAGTTTCTTGAAGGAGCTTGTGGATGTCACCTTAGAGCCCCTTTCTGTAATCTGTGAGATTTCATGCAAGGTGAGTGCCATGTCAGAAGATTGGAGAAGGGCAAATGTTGGTCTTAACTTCAAAAAGAGAAGAAAGATAATTCAGCTTGAAATGGACACCAGGCAAAACTCTGTAACAGATTATTAGGCATTTGGCTTGCATTTAGAAAAGAATTCAGTGCATGGCAAGACCTGGCATGAAACAAACCAACATGACATTCTTTTCTGACAGAATAACCAGTATAATCGACCATGAGAATGCCATGTATCTTGACTTCAATAAAGCATTTGACAAAGTAGTTTATATGACTATATTACCATTGAATGGATACAGTAATGCAATTGAGTCACTGAATACCAAACAAGTGCACATCAGTGGCTCTGCAAGCTAGGGAAGAAGTGTTGAGTGATGTGCTGTAGGGCTCTATTCTACTTTGTGCTGCTCTTCATAACTGTAACTCAGATGAGTGATCAGAAAATATTAAATCTGCAGACAATGTATAGCTTCTGTATGTGTGTTACAGAAAACATCTTAGAGCAGAAAACATCTTAGGCTGGCTGGGGAATTCTGGGAATTGAAGTCCACAGATCTTAAAGTTGCTAAGGTTGGGAAACACTGTCTTAGAGGATAGCATCAAAATTCAGGAGGATCTTGGCAAACTGGAATAATGGGTAGAAATCTTAATGGTAACAGCTGTGCAACAACACAAGAGATGACCTTTTCAGGTGGTGGATTCTCCTTTGCTGGTAGTGGCTGGATGGCCATATATCTGGGATCCTGTAGTATTGGGCAAGGGCTTGGACTAGGTGATCTCTAAGGTACCATCCAATCTTTCCATTCTATTATTCTATTATACTATTAAAAAGTGGCACTCCGTATAACAGGAGTAGCTCCCTCCCCATGCCAGAAAATAACAAGGTTAATGTTCTCCTTGACCTTCGTTTCCTCTATACAATTTGGGGAAGAATTTGTTTTACATTTACTGTTTGGAAAAAGGTTGCTAAAAAGGAAAAGAAAAAAGAGAGAAACAAATTGCCCTTATCTGCCTTTTTAAATGTCTGATAGCAGTGTCCCTTGGATAAACTAATAACAATTTCATCGCTATGCAAAATAAAATGTTATTATTTAATCTTCTTCAGTTTATGGCAACTAAGTGTGAGAATTAAATCTATGTAATATAATGATTAATATATAAAGAAAGCCAGTATAGTCATGCCTCTAAACTTAAGCTATAATTCATTTATTTATTTGTTCAATTTATAAGCTGCTTCAATTACCCAAGTGACTTCAGGTGACGTATAACATTAAAAATCGTGAGAGAAATAGACATAATTTATGATGACATTTAATATCTGCCTAGGAAAAACACCCTCTCCTATTCTTTGTAAACCTTACTGAGGGTTTCTTGCTCCAGAATCCCTCCTCTTTTCCATCATTTTAAGGTTGTATTTTATTATAACTTTGAGGGAGTTCTGATCAAGGGAGGGAGATCAATAGAGCTGCTGGATCTGACTCCATGGAAGTCACAGAAGAAGTATCTGAAAAGAATTATCAACAGATCTTTGACTGTTCTGCAACCAAGTGAAGCTGCTGTTAGTCAGGAGAAATATTTCTGAATCCCTCCTGTTCTCCCCAAGTCACAAACCAAGAAGGAAGTATTTGAATTAGAAAATGCTATTGTTGTGAAAACAAGAATAGATGAGGCCTAAAGAACTACCCTATTCTTCTTGCTCATCATTTTGCTGCTATCTGAAAGTGCAAAAGTAGGAAGATCATCAAACATTTAGCCAGCCGTATAGCATAGGACACCAGTTATGCTAGCCTGATCTACGTCATGTGCTATTCATATTCTCCTTTTAAATATGTTTAATTGATAAAATTTGAATATTTTTACTATCACATGTATAAGTAAATCCCATAATAGATTAACATACATAACTCCTTACTTGCATTACAATATTAGAAAAAACTATGAGCTTCTATTCTAAACAGGTATGAATATAGTTTTGTGCCCTCTATGATATTATGGTCAGTGACAAAAGCAAACTGAATTGTCATCAAATGATTAGAGTAAGTTAAAAAAAACCACAACACCAAAACACATTATGCCTTTGTTTCTATTTTATGAAATTTTGAGCATTGCTATATGAGAGTTCTATATTATTTCATTAAATATATCTTAAGGAAATGGAAAAACAATGTTGCTCTCTTACCAGACTCTTCAGAATTCTGAGCAAGGGTTTTGCTGTTATTTTGCATCGATGCTTCTGATTCAGTGGAACTTCCAGCAAGCCTTCCTTTTTGATTCACTTTGAAGGAAGGAGTTTTCCTGTTACCAGGCAGGATTAACAGAATTAATCAATTAATTAATTAACATGGATTTATATGGCCACCCATCTCACAGATGCAAGTCTGGGCAGCGATTAGTTTTCCTTTACTGAAAATGTAGATTAGGATTTCAATTTAAAATACATACATGCAATATTCTTTATTTTAACTTTAGCTATAAGTATGTTCATGGTAGCTAATATCAAGAAATAAAAATATGCCCAACCACCTAGCAAAACAAGAAAATAAAAAATTGACAGCTTTTCATCTTTTCTTGTTTCTTCCTTTCTTAATCATTTCAGATTATTGTGTACAAATATATGTTCAACAAAGCAGTACTAGATGGAAAATGTGCTGTTGCTTTAGTGATGCAGCACAAGTCCTGCTCTGAAAGTACAAGGCTATGATGCTTGGTATTTTAATATTGTTGAGCACATTGAAAAACAAGCAATCATTTATCTGGCATTTTTGAAGGATACAAACGTAATATATTAAAACAAATATAATCAGATGTACAGAAATTCATGTGTACCTCAAAAGGAGACCTTTGCCAGACTGTTTATGAGTAGATGTTCCAGCTGCAGAGATCCGAGGTTTTATCTGAGGCTTCACCACATTTGCACTGACTAAAAATTCCTTCTGACTGCTATGATGATCTTGAAGAATCCATAAAAGAAATCATAGGAATAAAAGAAAAAAAATACTGCCATGGAGAATCTGAGAATATAGCATTAATGATCCTCTTTTGCCCAATACTCTGTCTCTGTTCTTCTTTTATAAGAGCTCTCTGGACAAGCTGAGATACCTCCCACCCCAGGGGAGGGGAGATACTCCTTCGACTGCATCAAGTTACCCAAGTTACTCCATAATGCTTGCATCCAATCCTCCATTAATTTCTGAGAAGATGCTGCAAGGTAGTATTCTGCTCCATCACTTGTTCTGTATGTTGAAGAAGGAATTAACTGATTTATTTGATATATTAATTGATATATTTTCACAAGAAAATATGTCCAGAAACCAACCAACCAAAAGCCCCATTCTTTTTCTTACATGAAATATTATTAACATTAGCAACCCAGAAAACAAATACAAGCACTAGTTTTTGTAGTTCTGTAAGGCCAAAGAGATCTCATCCACTGATTTCAGATAAATTACTGTAATTCCTAAATAAAATTGGCAGCTTAGTTCAGACCCAAAACCATTCTCCCTCTTGTTAAATGCAAAATGTTTTAGTGAATTCTAGTCTAGTGAACAACACTGATAGAGTAATTTATGTTTCAGGATGAACAATAGGGACAGATAATAGTAGCTCAACCTTTGTGTACTGAGGAAAGTCCTTTTGCCATTGAACGACAAGATTCATAGAGCTGGAACATGTGATGCTGCGGACTTCTTACTCCTTTGATCTTGAGAAGTGTCACATCTTTCACATTCTGTGGGCACTTGGATTTGCACTTGGATTTTTATGGTGCAAATGGCAGCATCCAATTCTACAAAATCATTCTGATTTAAGCAATACTTAGCTTACCAATATGAAAGCGTTGCCTTTTACTCTAATTAACAGCAATCAATTTTACCTTAAGCTGAAGGCATATTTTTTCCTGGAATAGTCTGTCAGCTTCTCACATCTGGCTCCAGCTATGCTAAGTGATAAGTCTGGAAGCATTTTCTAAGAAAGGAGGAAGAGACGACATAATAAGCAGAGACTTTCTACTCCATCTTTTTGATTCCATATCCTTTAGGGCAGTGTTGTCCAAACTTGGCCACTTTAAGATGAGTTGACTTCCACACCCCCAAATCCCCCCCCCCCCTGGCTGGGGGATCTTGGGGTTTGAAGACACTCATCCTTAAATGGGCCAAGATTGAGCAA